TGTCAGTGATTTTAATTTTATTTGGATCTGCAATCATTATCTGTAGTCAAGAAATCAAAAAATCATGTTGCATTGGGAAAATCTCTGCCAGAGACCTCTCCAGAGTGCTAAAGAGCAAGGATGTCAGTTTAAAGAGTTACTTTCTATACATCGGAACAATGGACAATGATTCAGGAAGACCAAAGAAGAATCAAATGCCTTTGAATTGTGATGCTGGAGAAGAGTCCTGAATATTCCATGGACTGCCAAAAGCACAAACAAATCTACTTAGGAGGAAGTGCAACCAGGGTGCGCTCCTTAGAGGCAAGAATGGTGAAACTTTGTTTCACATGCTGTTATGTGCCATCAAGTTGCCTGCGACTCATAGCCACTTTATGTGCAACAGCCCTAAACCCTTCTCTATCCTGTGCCGATCTTATTGTCTCTGACACACCTACCCCCAGTACCCCGATCACTGAATCAATCCATCTCATCAAGGGTCTTCCTCTCCTGCGCTGTCCCTCCACCCTCCCAAGCATGATGTCCCTCTCCAAGGACTGGACCCTCCTTGCAACATGTCCAAAGTATGTCAGATAAAGCTTCAGAATCCTTGCCTCCAAGGAGCAGCCTGGTTTCACCCTCTCTAGAATGAACCTGTTTGTTCTCCTAGCAGTCCATGTGTATTCAATCATCTTCTCCAGCACCAACATGCTTTATATTATCAGGAGGGGCTAGTCCTTGGAAAAGGACATCATGCTGGGAAAGGAGGAGAGGCAACTAAAAAGGAAGAAAAGGGTTTGTCAATAAACAGATCACAGAAGGAATAGTCACAATACCTGTAACAACAGGCTGGAGTGTATCAGAGATAGTGAGGATGGTGCAGGAGAAGGTCACTATGAGCCCTAGTTGACTCGAGGGAACCTAACAACAACAATAACAACAACTACAACCCGGGCTCAGGTCTCCCAAGTATGGCAAAGGGCGTTGGGTCCTTCTTGTTGACTTAGTGAGGTTGGCAAGGGTTGATAGGGCCCATGGTCAGGCTCATAAAACTAGAAAAAGACAGCATCTGGCTAACAAGCCCATGGAGTAGAAACAAGGATTGAAACTTCTAACAGCGCTTTGTTCAGATGCTGGCAATCTGAGAGAAAGCAGTAGCATGGATGCCTCAAAAAACGTTCTCGGGCTCGGAGGAGGCCTCGGTGCAACTTTCTTTGGTCGTCCCGCATCCGGGTTCATCCGACACCAGCCGCCTCCGCCATGCCGCCCAAGTTCGACCCCAAAGAGATTAAAGTCGTGTACCTGAGGTGTACCGGTGGGGAAGTCGGTGCCACTTCTGCTCTGGCCCCCAAGATCGGCCTCCTGGGTCTGTCTCCAAAAAAGGTTGGTGATGACATTGCCAAGGTCACCGGTGACTGGAAGGGACTAAGGATTACAATGAAACTGACCATTCAGAACAGACAGGCCCAGATTGAAGTGGTGCCTTCTGCCTCTGCCCTGATCATCAAAGCCCTAAAGGAACCACCCAGAGACAGAAAGAAGCAGAAAAATATTCAGCACAGTGGAAATATCACTTTTGATGAGATTGTTGGCATTGCCCGGCAGATGCGACACAGGTCTTTAGCCAGAGAACTCTCTGGAACTATTAAAGAGATCCTGGGAACTGCCCAATCTGTGGGCTGCAATGTTGATGGCCGTCACCCTCATGACATCATAGGAGACATCAACAGTGGTGCTGTGGAATGCCCAGCTAGCTAAGGAACTACAGATGAAAATATTTCAATAAAGGATTATTTGTTAACCAAAAAAACAAAACAAAACAAAAAAAAAGTTCTCACATCTTGAAATGAGCAGGCTTTTTAACAGGGTAGTCAAAGAGAGTGGGTAGGGAAAGGAATGTGGGAAGTGTTCTGGAGGGAAGTGCCCAGAGATCTGATAAGGTTGTTTGTTCCATGACTTCTTCCCATGAAGCCTGTCAGATGTCTTCAGTTTGGTATTTGAGGCAGGCTTCTTTGCTGATAGTGCATTCTTCAGGGAATGTCTCAGTTTTGTTTTGTTTGGTGTTTTTATATCAAGGAGACTGGATTGTAAAGCCTTAGTTTCTAGAATAAATCTCACAGCTAGGTAATCAATTAGGTTGAAAAGGACCTTACATTGGCAACTTTTACTATTGTCCTAAGTTTGATCAACTAGCTCTGGTGGCCTAGTGGTAAGAATCTGCGCTACAATTCTGAAGGCACAGCAGGCGCTCCATGAGAGGCGGCTAGGCAATCTCTCTTTCATTTGTTGTTGTTGTTATGTGCCGTCGAGTCATTTGCAACTCATAGCAACCCTATGCACAACAGCCCTAAACCCTGCTCAATCCTGTGCCAATCGCATGGCCTCTGACACACCCATCGCGATTACCCCAGTCACTGCCTCATACAGGGTCTTCCCCTCCTGTGCTGTCCCTCCACCTTACCAAGCATGATGTCCCTCTCCAAGGACCTGTCTCTTCTTACAACAAGTCCAAAGTATGTCAGACGAAGCCCCAGAATCCTTGCCTCCAAGGAGTAGCCTGGTTTTAACCTTTCCAGAATGAATTTGTTTTCTTGGCAGTCCATGGTACATTCAATACTCTTCTCCAGCACCACAGCTCAAAGGCATCAATTCTCCTTCTGTCCTCCCTAGTCATTGTCCAACTCTCTGATGCATAACAAGTGATTGCAAAGACCATGGCCTGTATCAGGCACATCTTAGTCTCCAGAGAGACACCGTTGCTCTTGAGTACTTTAGAGAGGTCCCTAACAGCAGATTTTCCCATCGCGATACGTGTTTTGATTTCCTGGCTGCTGGTGCCAAGAGTGAGGATCAGCTGTCTGTCATTTCCGACTTGATGGCACACAACAACATATCTGAGTAACCTAACATAGGCAACTTACAACTAAGCCTGAGTAGTCAGGTTAAAGAAACTTGCATAGCTCATTGCTATGCAATGACATTCACCCTTTTGCTAGGGCTTGTGGCTCTAGAATCATGTTCCAATTTGTCTGTAAGCTGGTGGAGAATTGGCTACATTTTGGCACTATGCCAAGGTGCAGCCGATTTCTCCAATCCCTGCTGTTCAGAACCTGAAAAAATGAGTCAATAGCACTCAAATTGTTTGCTTCAAACAGCTCAGTTAAGAAAGTTCTGCTGAATGGTTTGGTGGCCACTGAGGTATAGATGTGAATTTATATCAGTGAGATCATAGGCAAGTGTGGCATCATTGGTTATAATGTTTGAACACATTTGATTATATTTCTATTTGTATATTCGTAATATACAATTCATAATATTCTATATTATATACTATTTGTATATTCGTTATTTCTTGCTATGCATCAGAGAGCTGGATAATGATGAAGGATAATAGAAGAATTGATGCCTTTGAGTTGTGGTGCTGGAGAAGAGCCTTGAACAGACCATGAACTACCAAGAAAATAAATCAATCTGCCTTAGAGAGGATGAAACCAAGTTTCTTCTTGGAGGCTAGTATTTTGAAGCTCCCTCTCACATACTCTGGGCATGTGGCCAGGAGTGACCAATCCTTGAAGAAGGACATCATGTTCAGAAGGATGGAGGGAAAACAACAACAATAAAAAAAAAAAAAAGAAGGATGGAGGGAGATCCCGGATGAGATGGATTGATACAATAACAAGGGCAGTGGGGGTTGGTGTATCAGAGACAGTGAGACTGGCTCAAGACAAGGCACGCTTCAGAGCTGTCATAAATAGGATCGCTATGAGTCACAGGTGATTTGACGGCACATAACAGCAACAACATCATTTATATATTCTTGGATTATGTGTGATGAGACTGTTATCTCAATAAAACAGATAATGTGCATTAAAAAATCCAACAAAACCTTATATTGTTGTTATGTGCTGGCAAGTCGCTTGCAACTCATAGCAACCCTATGTACAATAGCCCTAAACTCTGCTCTATCCTGTGCCAATCTTACTGTTCCCGACACGCCTATCCCCATTATCCTAGTGATGGAATCAATCCATCTCATTGAGTCTTCCTCTCCTGCACTGTCCCTCTACCCTCCCAAGCATGACGTCCCTCTCCAACGACTGATTCCGCCTTGCCAGCAGAGCTTCAGAATCCTTGCTTCCAAGGAGCAGCCTGGCTTCACCCTCTCGAGGACGAACTTGTTTTTTGTTCTAGCAGTCTATGGTATATTCAATACTCTTCTTCAGTGCCAAAGCGCAAAGTCCTCAACTCTCCTTCTATCACTCCTAGTCACTGTCCAGCTCTCTAACGCATAGCAAGTAATTGCAAAGACCATGGCCTGGACCAAGTACACCTTAGTCTTCAGACTGACATCGTTGCTGCTCAGTACCTTGGAGAGGTCTCTGAAAACCGACTTTACCAGTGCAATTAGTCTTTAATTTCCTGGCTGCTGGTACCAAGAGTGTTGATTGTAGAGCCAAGCAAACTGAAGCTGTCAACAACCTGAATCTCTTCATCATCCATCATGATGCTACCAATCAGCCCAGTGGTGAGAATCTTTGTTTTCTTGAGGTTGAGCTTCAAGCCATATTGAAGGCTGCAGTCCTTGACCCGCCTCAGTTTCAGCAAGCCGGGTTGTGTCATCTGCTTAACTTTTATTATCGTCCTGTACATAAACTCTATTTAGCTCATGCCGCCATCACGCTGTCTGATGGGGGCAAAGGGCTGCATGTAGAGTGAAGTCTGCGTCTCTGCCATAGCCGAAGCCCTTCCAGCAGCAGCACCTTTATACTCCTCAAAGGCGAAGAGGACTGAGACGCTCCGCGAGTGTAAGCTACTTCTTGGTAGGAGCCTTTGTCCTACGCCCTCTACTCCGGTATTGCTGCTTAGAGACCCAAAGGAATAATCCACTTCAGACAGAATCACGAACTACACTTCCCAGCAAGCACTCCCAGCCGCCTGAGGACGGAACCTACGGCAGAAGAGGCCGCCAAAATCATGCGTCATTTCCTGTGCGCGAATGGGCTCACGTTCTGCTGTCGTGAATGGCCGCCTGGAGTAGCGTCTTGTTTCCGGTTTTGCGCGACGGAAGTGACGAGAGCGCAGTGCGCCGCTGTGTGGAGCGGGGGTTGGACGGCTGGATGAATCGCGTGTTGTGTTCGCCGGCGGCCGGGTGAGCTCTGCACGGTCTTGGCGCGGCCGAGGGCGGGAGCAGGCGGGAGGATGGGCCCAGCGCTCACTCGTCTCTCTCTTTCAGGGCCGCCCGGGCGCTGAGGTTCGCGCGGTGGTCCTCCCCGAGCTCACATTCGACCTCCGGTGGCCAAGCTCGAGTCCAGAGAGTGACAGAGGCAGAGAAAGACCTTTACCAGCCTATACCGTTTTCCTCTAGCAAAGCCAACCCATCCCGCTGGAGGGTGGAACATTCACTGGGCAAGATGCAGCAGCGGCCCTGGTGGAAAGTGCTGCCCTTGAGCTTCTCCCTCCTGGCTTTCGTCGTTTGGTGCTACCTCAGGCGGGAAAGCAGTTCAGATGCGTGGTTAAGCGAGGAGCTGGAGGAAGAACCAGAGCCCAGGGATCGCTTCGAGGAGCATGTCACTGCGAGGATATAATGGAGTGCCCGCTGTCTGCTTTAATGATTATAATTTCTGCGTCCCCAGCCCTGTAGGGCTTGGTGAATGGCAAACTTGCCTGAAAGCAGAACAGACAGACCTTCAGCACATGGAATTGTGCGCCTTGCCTGATACTTGATTCCAGTGAATCCATCCCAGGTGCTTTCCAGATATGTAAGAAAGATTTCGTTCCCATCGAGTGCTGTTGGATTTTTCGATTTATTTGTACAACATGTTTATGTTGGATATCACTTCTGATTCACAAAGCTACTCGATGTCACTTATGGTCCTGTGTGATTTCTGCAACATTTTTGCTCTCTAAGCCAGAGTAGCTGGCAGAGTGTAGCTTTTTACTTTATTAATATATTACACCATCCCTTGATGCTTTATTCACTAACACTTTGAAAATAAATTTTAATTTGATGGCACGGAATCACGAGAATTCCTTCCTCCTTCCCTCCATATTTTAAAAAGAGGGTTGAGGTGGGTGGGGAAGAGGTTTAGCAGCCAAACAGCCATGTGTCACTACTTCTGTTGTGTTCCACCCCCCACCCCCCACCCCCGCCTCCCAGAAGAGGAAGAGAGGAAAGAAACCTCAATGAAAATTTAGAAATGCTTTATCCACTGATTCTAGAGAAAACAGGCTTTCTCAGGTTTCTGCAGAGGTTTATTTTTAGCAACTTTACAATCATTCTGAGTGGAATAGACCAAGTGAATGCCGCCATTTGCCAAATTTTTTTACTTAAAGGCTAATTTTTTTCCTAAAGTGACTACTTATTAAGAAAAGTCAGCATAATTTTGAAATAAAGTGCATTAAGAGATGGTTTAATGCACTTGGACTTCCACTGGAAATTTTACTTCAGTGAGTCTGTGGTGCTGAAGTTAATTGGAAGTGTTGCTAAAATAGAATGCTTAAAAATACATATTGTAACTACTCTGCTTCTAGGGTAATAGTGAGCTCCACTTACCAGCTATGTATTTGTTTCTTACATCTTATCCTCACAAATACATACTGTACACAATGTAGCACATAATGTGCTAATGTTACTGTTGTTTGGTATAGTCATGCCTAGATTCGATCTGTGTTCAAAGTTTGGGTTTATAAAGAAACTGATTATAAAAGATAATAATAAAAAGTATTTGACTTACACAAGAACAAGTTTACTATGAGCCATCTATACAGAACTTCATGTTAAATTGTGAACCACCTTCTCAATCTTTGGTGCTTAACTCCCTCTTTTGTTTCCCACTTCTTTGTAAATTACTCTGTGAGGGAGATGAAGGTTTGGAAACATGCTCATTTTTTTGAGGAAGACCCATCTCGGCTGACTCCTGTGATAAAGCTCCAGCAAGAGTAGAGTGAAGACTCCCTTTATCTGATATGGTGTGACTGGCTATTCATTTGCAAGCTCTTTGGTGTCAGCAACTGTCATTCCAACCAACGACCTTGTTTTACTTTCCTTGACTTCTCTAGGGAAATGAAATTTAGGACCTCAGTTCTGCAGCCTTAAAGTGAGTGTGAAGATATGGCAGTGCTGTGGCACATGGTGCCTGAACTGTACATGTCAGGAGCATAATACACACAGCTTCATGTGCTTGGATCTACATGTGCATATGTGCTGTGTGTGTACACACAAGCATGTCCAAGCCCTTAGGTATATGTGCTGGTGGGGGAGGGCAGGTGTATTTGGGCCCCATCCTGGCCCAAGCATTTCATCCCTTGGAAGAGGGTGGGAGAGTGTGACCCAGGGGGAGGAGGGATCCCTGCTCTAACCACATCTCCTTTCCCCTCCCACCCAACATCTTTGGGTGTTTGAAGTTTCATTTTTGTGGTTTGACCCTCTCAAACCTCATGAACAAGATCACTTCACAGAAGGGCGTGTGGGATAGGGATGGGAATGGGAGGGCAGGGAGTGTCTTTGTGTGTGTGTGCGCGCACGTGTGCGTGCCCTGCACCTTCCAACCTTTCTCAGTTTCTTGTATTTGTATGGTACAGGCAATAATGACCAGAGCTCAAGCTGCATTTGTACAGAACTGACACTTAGGGGGGAAAAAACCACAAAACTATTTGAACTGAAAGTCACTTTTTTTACCAAAGCAGTACCTATTTTATCCAGAAAATTAAGCAAAAGATAAGCAAAGGGAAGAGAATGCAATGTGCAGTTGGTCTGAGGTAACCTCCAAATGCTTCACTGGCTACCTATCAGGCTCTTTGTAAGCATGCCTATTCAATGTTAGAAAAGCGTAGTTAGGAACAGTGTTTTGGGGTTGTTTTTAATGCTTTTTTTTTACTTTATTAATAATTTCAATGAAAATTTACAGAGACTTTGGATTTCCATTCATTCACTGTTGCACTTTCCTTCCCTCCCAATCCTCCCCCCAGTACACTACCCTCTTTGGTTTTTTTTTTTTTTTTAAATAACACCTAAAGTTTATTAGATGACAGCACACACAGGAAACGCAATAGTCGAGGAGCCTACTATCAGTTCCCAAAGGGATCATCCTAAGAATTGAGACCCAAGAGGCAAACCCCGGCAAAGGCCTGGTCTGCTGGCGTGTCGCTCGCGGTTAAAAGGGCTGCCTGCAGCGGGCTGGGGCCCCAGTTATGCGATAACTCATGCTCTTGCGCAGCAGCGTAACCCCCGGCACCACGGGGAGGCGCGCCGGGGGCTACACTACCCTCTTTGAAAAGTAAAAGTAAAATTCTTTCATTGTTTTACAATCCTTCCCCCCCAGGAACAGTGTTTTTGATGTGACATCACATTACATACAAAAGACCCTCAGTGTATCCAAGGTGGGAAACAGAGTTTTCTCCATTTATAACTTCACACCAGACACATGGCTAAGCTTTGTTATTGTAGCAGCTCCACCGAGGAAAATCAGAGACTAGCTCACAACAGAGGCAGAACTTTCCACTTCTGGGATTTGAAGGGGTGCTGCTAGGCTGTTTTTCTCCCATCTTTTCCTTATTTAGCTTCCTTCATAGTTGTTAGGTGCTGTTGAATTGATTCTGACTCCTGCAGAAGCCTGTAACACTGCCCAGTGCTGTGCCATCTTCACTATCAACACTGTGCTTCAACCCATTGTTACAGCCACCATGTCATTCCATCTTGTGGAGAGTCTTCTTCACGTTTGCTCACCAAGTCTTATTCTCTTCTCAGGGACAGGCCCTTCCTGATGATGTGTGCAAACTATGTGAGATGAAATCTCACCATCCTCGATGCTAAGGAGCACTCTAGTTGCTTCCAAGACAGATGTGTTTATTCCAACTGTCACATGCAGATGAGACAATTGAGTGTATGCAGCCTTATGTCCACACAGAGCAATAGCTTTTCTGTCTCCCAAAATGCTTTGCATATGACACTGTCATATAAGCACTTAGTAAACTCTGTAGGGGGCTACCTGCTAGGATGGAAATTGTGTGAGATGATAAAAATGACCAATTGTTGGGCAGAGGAGGAGAAAATTTTTTTAAAAAAAGAGTAAAAAAGAATCCTTTCAAGGAAAAAATTAACTAGATGTTACTTCTGATGAGCAGTCTTAGACAACAGGGCAGTGGTTTACATTCTCTCCAAGAAAAAGGTCAAACAAATGTAAAATGATTTGGGTGGAAGGACAGCAGAAGAGGGGAAAACTCTAGAAGAGATGGATTGACACAGTAACTGGGATGACCGGGTTAGGTGTGTCAGAAACAGACTGGCTCAGGCAGGACACGGCAGGGTTCAGAGCTATTGTACATATGGTCACAATGAGTTGTAGGCAACTGAACACATAACAAGGAAAACCCTGGTGTTACAGAAGTAATACCTTTTTTAAGAACAGCAGTTTAAAGAACATTCTTCAAAAGTACTAAAATGACACTTGACGTCTTTACAACTTGTCACAGTTTTAGTGAAAACAATGGGTGAAGAGAAGCCTCTTTCCCACCACCTTCACAGCAGAGAACCCCAAATCCCTTCATCTTGAGCTCCTGACTTCCTTGTCTGCGCTCTCCCAGTGCCTCCCTCCCAACTCTACCATGGATACTGAACAGGCTCACAGAATCCTTGAATATGTCACTTACAAGTTGGAATTTACTTCCCCATTCTTTCTTCAGTTTTGTTCCACGCAAACCCAGAATTCCCGCTACTCTCAAGCTAATTCCACCTCACAGTGATCCTTTATTGGGTTTCTGTACATCTTTGTGGAAGGAAACAGCCCATCTTTCCCTTATGGGTTAGCTGATGGATTCACACCAATGACCTTTCAGTTAGCAGTGTAACATATATTGTGCCACCAGAACTGCTTTCCTTTCTTCCATATGTCATTTCGTTTCATTACACTCCACCCAACCCTCTCAAGCTCAAGACCCTTAGAATTATCCTAGACTTCTTTCTTCTGACATCCTGTCTACTCTCAGTTCATTGCAGTCAAGTTAGAACTGACTAAAAGCTGACCCTCTATTTAGTTTCCACGTTTGTAAATTGCTTGGTAGGAGATTGCCCATTTTCCCCTTCTAGAAATGTCTATGTCTCTTGAGAAAAATTCATGAGCTCTGTCCCGTCTGTTCTCTAGCTACTTTCTTCTGAAAATAGAATGCTCTTGATCTTCTTTGTAAGTTTGTTTTGTTGTAGAGCCCACTAAGGATAATGAACTATGAGTTGGGATCTATTATTTGTAATGTATGTTACTCTGTATTTACTACACTTTTAAAAAAACAAAACAACTCAGGCTCAAACAGACCTGATGGTACATTTCCATACCCTTGCATCCCAGGGAATAATATTTAGTGTTTTAATTTCAGTATCTAAACAATGTTTGTAGAAGTCATCATTTGGAAAATGTGAGGGTACAGAGAAGCCCATCCTACTAGTTATGGATCCTTTATATTATTTGTATTTTAAAAGTTAGCCTAATTGAGAGCAAATATGGGAACTTTTTCATTTTAAAAATGATTTTCTGTTGTTTCTTGCTGTTTTAACAACTAAACGGCACTTTGCAAATCAGTTCTTAGACTGTGATTTTTAATTTTTTTTTTCAGGAGAGAAGGCTATAGTTAGAGTGCTTTAATTTCTTGCAAATATATGTATATATTTTCATGTTTTCCTTTCTTATTCCTTTTTTTGTATTAAATAAGTTAAATAGTAATTAATTCCACAACATAGTATTTTTTTTATTATACCTTGGATGAAATTTTGTTTTGTTTTATCTTGGATGAAAATTTACAGCACAAATTAGTTTTCCATTCCACAATTTATACCTTTTTTTAAAAAAAAAAATCCATACCATTAAATAGATAGTTATTAAGCCATGATGACATTCTTTTCTCACTACTCAAGTCCATTGCAACTTGAAGTCCCTGCTCTCCGTGAGGCACAGCAGAACTGCCCTGTTCAGTCTCCAAGGCTTCAACCCCTAAGGGGAGTAAATGTGTCCTCTTTCCCCAGCAGAGCAGCTGGTGGGTTTGGACTATCTGCTCTTAACCCACTATGCCAGTAAGACTCCTAATTTAAGCATATTTCAACAATCAGACTGTAAGGTAATCTACATTTTTTGCTAAATAACTCGGTGGCATCTTTTCTTTGTAGGTAAATCTTTATCTGAATTTAATTTTTAATAATGTTTCATACTTATATGCAAACCAAGTTAAAAATAATAATTTAATAAAAGACTGTTTCATGCCCATTGTGTCCCAAACATATACTTCCAAGGCCCTCTTGGAATGTGAGGGGCTGCCTGCTTTCCTGCGTTCCCACCTTAGATACATTCCTGCGCCATCAACCTAACACCCAGCTGGTATGGGGGTGTGTGTGTGTGTGTGTGTGTGTGTACACGCCTCAGATTAAGAGGAAACCCAGCTTTATTATTAAGATACAATTCACATTCTATTCAATTCACTCTTTTAATGGACACTATTTGAAGGTTACAAAAAAACCCTACAAACCATTTGTAGACTTGTATGACTATCATCACCATCACATTTTATCATCTGGTAAACGAAGCCTACACCTATTACACAGGAGCTCTGGTAGTGCACCAGTTAAAGCATTTGGCTGCTAACTCAAAAGTGGGCCCTGGGAACCCCCCTGAGAGAGAGAGATGTGACAGCCTGCTCCAGTGAAGATACCAGCCGTGGAAACCATACGAGACAGCTCCAGACAGCTCTACTTTGTTCTGCAGTGTCGTTGGAATCACTCAGTGCTTGTGGCCTCAGCATTGAGACCTCAGTATGTGGAAGCTGAGAGAGTGTGTGGCCTGTGTCCCGGGTGGGTTTCTGAGTTTGTACAATGCCTGGGGTAGAAAGGGTGGGATGATGGGCAGGGCAGGGAAGGTGCTGGGGGCAAGGGGGACAAGTGCTGCCCATGTTGAATGTTCCTGTCCTGCAGTGTATGGAGGCTGCACTCGGTGCACTCGGTGGTCCGCGCGGGATGTAAGATGCTAGAATGCAGGTATGCTTGTGGGCCAACCTCTCTCGCGGCATTTGCCATGCCTGCCTGCCGTAGGCGCGAGGTCAGGGATCCATGTGGAGGGCAGGGATGCTCACAGGCCTCTCCTTTCTGCACGGGACTTTGTGGTGCTGGCAAGGCTGTGGACGCGGGCTCGGTGATCCTCGCTGTTTGCCGCGCCTGCGAGGATGTGGATGCAGGCACAGCAGTCCGCGCGGGATGCGAGGTGCAGGGATGCTCACAGGCCGCCCCTTCCTGCGCTGCGCCGGCGAGGCTGTGGACGCAAGCATAGCGGTCGGCGAGGGATGTGGGGATACAGGATGCGGGGTGCTGGGTGCAAGGATGCTCACCGGCCGCCTTCTCCTGTGCTGCGCCTCCTGCTGCGTCGGCCAAGCTGTGGGCACAGGCTCGGTGGTCCATGTATGATGCGGGATGCAGGGATATGGGGATGCTCGCGGCCGCCCCCTCCCGCGCCGCGCCGTCCGGGGGCGTGGCGGGGGCGTGGCAGGCCGGGCGAGGGGCGCGGGTGGGCTCGGCGCGGGGGGAGATCCGGAGGGGCGGGGGCGGGCCGGCCCAGCGCATGCGCGCTGCATTGTTTTGACTGAAAATGCCGTCGGTTTCGAAAGCGGCGGCGGCGGCGCTGAGCGGGTCCCCCCCGCAGACGGAGAAGCCGACCCACTACAGGTCAGCACGGCGGCGCCTGCACGCCCTGGCCAGCGGAGCCCACCCCTCAGACCCCAGCCTGGGGCCCTCGTCGGCCCTGCGGCCTGGGCCGCGCGCCCTGCCGCCCCCGCCCCCGGCTCCGGCCGCACCCGGGCTCGTGCAGCCGCCGCCTGAGGTCGGGGGCGGCGCCGGGGTCGGGGGAACGCGCGGGGCGCGGGAGACAGGCGCGCGGTCGGTCCTGGGGGCCAGGGTGGCCATCTGGACTCAGACTGTCGCTGCCCAGAGCAGGGGACCACGCATGGGGTAGTGGGTAGCGGGGCCACCTGGACTCGGGCCGCCGCCGGCCGCCTGGGCTCGAGACGCTGCTCCCGGGACCAGTGTCACCTGGAATTGGAGGTGGGGATGGCCATCTGGACTCATGCAGCCGCCGCCTGAGGTCGGGGGCGGTGCCTGGGCTCAGGGTATCTGGGGCCGTGCGTGGCTTTGGGGACCAGGGATTGCACTTGAGATGGGGGAAGGGGTGACCATCTGGGCTCTGGCTGACGCTACTGGGGTCCAGGACAGAACCTGGGGTCAGAGGAGTGCGCTCGCCACTGGGGGCCAGTAGCGGCCATCTGAACTTGGGTTGCCGCCGTCTGAAGTTGGGGAACAGCATCGGGGTGGCCATATGGACTCACGTAACTGCTTTCGAGGTCCGTGGACAGCCTGGAGTAGGAGATGGGGACAGCCATCTGGACTTGTGCGGCTGCCACCTGGGCTTAGGGTATCTGGGGCCACTGCTTGGTTTGGGGGACAGGAAATATGCTTGGGATTGAGAAGGAGGGCTGTCCTTAATGTGGGGTTAGAGTCTGAGAAGGTGGAGTGGCACCTGGGTTTGAAAGGAATGTACCTGGGCTCTGGAGTCTAGGAGACCACACCTGAGTCAGGAGAAGGTGGTGGCCATATATATGGCCTTAGGCTGCCCTTACCAAGTGTGACATGACACCTGATATGGGAGCAGGGTTTGCCTGTCCTAGAGGGAATCACGCCTGGATGGAAGTCTCTTATTTAGGGTCTTGGTAGCTGTGCCTGAAATGGGGTACTGGACCTTGGGCTCCAGGCCACATCTGTTGTAGGAGCACTATGTCTAAGGCCTGAAGGGCCATACATGGTATAAGGGTCAAGGAACTTGTTTCTGTGATGAGAGTACCACATCTTGGGCTTGGGTGCATACTTGGAATGGTAGGACTTGGATCTAAGAAGGGGTGGGGTGTGTGTGTGTGTGTGTGTGTGTGTGTGTGTGTGTGAGAGAGAGAGAGAGAGAGAGAGAGAGAGAGAGAGAGACACCTAGGATAGGGATGCTGTGTTTGTGTTTGGGATCTGGGGAAGGGAGTCGCTATGCCTGTGATAGGGGTTCTATGTCTCTGGTTTAGAGGTGGCTGTGCCTGAAATGGGTGGGGTACTGGGTCTAGAGCCTTGGGACCACATTTGGGAGGGAATACTGCATCTTGAATCTTTGGGTGTGTACCTGGGAACAGGATTCTGTGACTGGGGTCTAGTGGTTCTACACCTAGCTCCCAGTCTGGGGCTGAGGTCAGGGCTGGGTTGGGGACTTACCTTGGGTTTCCATGGCCATCTCCCTGGCTGGAGGTATGCCAGGCCGGCCGGCAATGCTGTGCATCTCTGCAGGTACCTGAAGGAGTTCAGGACGGAGCAGTGCGCCCTGTTCCTGCAGCACAAGTGCGCCCAGCACCGGCCCTTCACCTGCTTCCACTGGCACTTCCTGAACCAGCGCCGACGCCGGCCCCTGCGCAGGCGTGATGGCACCTTCAACTACAGCCCAGATGTGTACTGCGCCAAGTACGACGAGGCCACGGGCGTGTGTCCCGACGGGGACGAGTAAGTGCCCGTGTGGGGGCCTGCGCTGCCAGGTGTAAGGTTACTGCCGACCCCAGCCCATCATGGCTGGACAGTGGGGAGCGGGACAGACTCTATTTTTAGTCCAGTGTGGGAGTGATTACTTTTAGTGCATTGTGTGTTGTGTTGTTTACTCAAAGGTCAGCAGTTCAAATCCACCAGCCACCCTGAAGGAGAACGATGGGTGATCTCCTTGCATAAAAATCTGCAGTCTTGGCAAGCTCTGTTAGTCTAGTGGCAAGAAGCTGTACTGTAATCCCAGAGGTCTGTGGTTCGAATCCACCAGATGCTCTGCTCGAGAAGGAGGAACAATTGCCTCCTGCTCCAGTCAGATCCGATTTGATGGTGTACACACACACACACACACACACACACACACACATACACACATACATATCCCTACCCCTGCAGTCTTGGAAACCTGATGAGTTGGAATCAAGCAGCAGTGGGTTTGGTTTTTTTGCTTTCTGTCATGTTTCAAATGAACTTGCTTGTCACCACTCACTTTTTTGAAGAGCACTGGTGGTGGAACACAGGTGGAGGGCTCTGGTGGCCTCGTCCTTCTGCAGCTGTGCTGCTAACTCAAAGGCCACAGTCTTTGGCAGTTTGAATCCACCAGCAGCACTGAGGGACGAAGCTAGGTAATCTCCTCCCATGCAATCTATAGCCTTGGAAACCACTGGAGGATCAGCTATGAGTCAATTACAACTGAACAGTAATGAGTTTGTGGTGATGTGGTGGGTTATGTGTGGCTCTGCTAACCAAAAGGTTGATGGTTTGAATCCACCAGCCACTTCTTGGGAGAGAGATGAGGCAGCGTTAAGATTTAAAGCCTGGGAAACCCTCTGAGGTGGTTTTGCTCATAGGATCGCTATGACTATCAGTTGACTTGATGGTGATGGGTTTGGTTTTGGGTTTTGGATGGTACAGTGGTTAAAGAATTTGACTGCTAACCAAAAGGCTGGCAGTTCAAACTCACCGGATGATCTGTGTGAGGAAGATAGGCAGTCTACTTCTGTAGAGTTTTCAGCCTTTAGAAGCCATGTAGAGAAGTTTCTCTTTGATTCAAGGTTGCTATGAGTTTGACTTGATTTAATGACAGTTGGTGTGGTTTTGGGTGGGATAGGACTTGGAAACCATATAGAGAAGTTCTGCTTTTTCCTTCTAGGCTGCTATGAGTTGGACTTAGCCTAATGCCAGTAGGTGTGAGTTTGGGTGGCATGATGCTTAAAAGCATTCAACTGCTAACCAGAAGGAGAAATAAGAGGCAGTGTACTTACATAAAGATTTACCGTCTTGAAACTGTATGGTGCAGTTTTGGTCTGTCCTGCAGACAGACTTGTGACTTGGAATCCATTCAACAGCAATGAGTTTGACTCTGCTTTTTGAAATTACTAGTTTTGTTATTGTAACTTGAGTGAAAGTTTACAAAGCAATTGGTTTTCGATTAAACCATTCATATACATGTATGGTTTATAACATTAATTGTAGTACCTATAATGGAATCACATTCCTACTTTCTCCCTGTGAGTTCCATTTCCACTTATCTTTCCATCATACCCCTTCCTTGTTCTCTCAGCGTCAGAGTGCACCTGGGAATATTTCCTTTTTGTTACTGTTGTTTACATTTTTATCTTCATTTTTTTTCTAAAAACGTTGACAGTGAGGGAAATGACTTTCAGACTGCCATGTGTGTTTAAGAAGTCAAGATTTTATTTGAGTTGTTGTATTGTTGTTGTCTTTCATTCTAACATGTCTCATAATGGTATTAGGAACAGATATCTTTATTTTGAAAGAAGTAGAAGGGGGAAACATGGAAATATAGGAAGATTGTTATTTGAATGATGGTGGAGACAGATAGTGGGGAAGTTTTACATTTTGCCTGTGGGGTGTCTGAAGTGGGAGAAGGTGTTTACTTTGTGGCCCAAAGAGGAGATGGATTTTGTGCCCAAAAGTAAAAATGAAAAAATCCCAAAAACAAAACATTCTGTCAGCAAGCTGATTGTGACTTAATTGACTGCAGGTCTGAGTAGAACTTCCCCAGAGGACGTCCAAGGCTCAAAATCCTTATAGGAACAGACTGCCTCATCTCTCTGCAGAATAGCTCATAGGCTCAAACCAAAACCAGGGTAACAGCTGACTGCTTAACTGCTGCGCCACCAGAGCTGCTTTTAAATTTGCCGAGACCAAACCCCCTGACTTCTAGTCCAACGTCTCTCACAGCGACCCTGCCAGACAAAGTAGAACTGTCTAGCGGGTTTCCAAGGCTTTATTTATTTATTTTCTATTGATTTGCATACCAAGTTCAAATACATTGTGTTTCACACTTTTCCTTCATTCACATTGAAGGCCATAATTATTTACAGAAGGAGGCTGCCTCATCTTTCTCCTCCATTGTGGCTGGTGGGGTTGAACTGCTCATATACTGGTCGGCAGCCAGTTTCTTAATCACTGTGCCACCAAGGATACTGGACTGCTCCCGAGTCCCTCTAAAAGAACAATTTGTTCCACCTCTGTTAGGGTTAACAAAGGGGTTGGGGGAGGTCTTTTTAATGTTTCCTTTTTAATGTTGTAAATGAAGAGATAAGAAAACACTACCATTTTGACAGTCTTCTTGTGTCAGTTCTCTTACTCAGACTTCTCGCTTTGAGGTCACTTCCGACTCACAGCAACCCACTATCTGGTTTCCAAAGTTGTTAATCTTTGTAGGAGGACTCTGCCCACCTTTTCTCTCTCAGAGCTACTCACAGTCACCCGTTTGAGGCTATGCTCCAGGAGGAATGACATCACATTGACTTAACTGATCACCAGACAGTAACTTTTCTGCCAGCTCACCTCATTTCATTGTCCTCTGCTTTTGTACACTTGGTGGTTGCTAGGTGTTTTATACATTGAATGATTGTAGTACCCTGGAATCTAGCAAGTCTGTTGTTACCATTTTTCCCACACCAAATGCTGACCTTATGTCTCTGTATGACTTACGGTGACCCTACTTCAGGTTTCTAAAAAGCTGTAAAAGGAAAATAGGTAGCATGGAGAACAGCCAGAGGCTGACCTCTCCTAATTCCACAAAGGAGAACTGGCCTCATCAACATGCCCAGAACAAGACTAATTCCTGTAAAGTCAAACATGGTCTCCCATGCTCCAGCACCCAATTCTACTAATTCCAACACAAATCTTCCTGCTCTGCTGAGTCTAAAGTCCATTGCAATGACTACACAGACTTTGCAGAACCATGTTCATAGTTATGGGGTTTATTAGAGAAGTCAATAAGCTATAATTCAAGTGGGCAACAGGCAGCAATCTGTCAGTCCAGACAGCTTCTCAAGCATTGTCACACACCCTTTGACCTTCAACCTCATGGCTTAGATCAGTGTTACAGAGTCCCCTTAGTCCTGTCAGTTATGACATCTTCTTTCAGTCCTCCAGCCAGCCTAGGTAAAGGCTTATGGCTCTGACTTTGTGGCGTAACAGTCCCAAGACAATTCTGGCTCTGATTGATTGGTTTCTTATTCTCTTTTATAATTTTTTCTTGTTGTGTGCCATCTAGTCAAATCTGACTGGCACAGGAGGAGATTGCCTTTCCTCCAGCAGAATATCTGGAGGATTCGAACCATGCACCTTTGGAATTGCAGTGCAACTTCTTGCCACTCAGCCACCAGAATGCCCTCTGGTTGGTTCTTGTTCTCTGCTGAGGCTGCTGTTGCTCTTGTGTAGACCCTGGGCTGCGTAGCACAGGAATTTCTGGCCCTGAAGAACATGTGCTACTTCCTTTTCAGCGATAAATTTTCGTGGGAAGAGATGGCCCATTTTTAACCCCTGAAAAATGAAGCACAAAACAACACTTATTAGTTGCTATATTACAGTGTTGTCTTCACTTTGGTTGTTGGGAATTGAATCTGCACTATCTCTGTGTCTTCCTGTGATGGAAATATATTCTGATTGACATGTGATCTTTCACCAAGAAGCCTGATGAGCTAGTGATGTGTGACATATCTGTTACAGATGTCACCCGTGTATATGATCACGTAATAAGAATGTCATGTGGCCTTACTGACTTTCATTGAGGACATTACTTGTGTTTGTATTGAACCTGTACATAGACCAAGAACTGGTTAGAAGAGAATAAGAGAAAATCTGTGTGGTTTAAAATTAGGAAAGATGTGCATCGGGGTTGCATCCTTTCATCACATATGTTCAGTCTGGATGGTGAGCAGATACCCTGCTTGGTAAAGTTGAGGGTCAGAGAAGAAGAGGAAGACCCTAACAGATGGATTGACAACAGTGCCTGCCATATCGGGCCCAAACAAGCACCAATGGTGAGGGTGCCACAGGGCCTGGCAGGGTTTAGTTCTGTTGCACCAAGAATTGCTATGAGTTGGAACTCCCTGGATGGCACTTGATAACAACAGTGACTCATGTGACATCACCCTGATTGATGGGGAAAGGGGATTTCCCTTCACTTTTCAAATAGGATGATCCATATCTGCCCTTGAATTCCTTATATTTGATCATGATTCATAACCTGTCAGAGCAAAGAAGGGGACTTCCTTTTATTTCACTTCATTTGTTGTTAAAATTTTGATTTGATGTTCTTGTGTTACCAGCATTTTAAAATTTTAAAAGCGTGAATATACACTTGACTCTCAAACAAGATGTCAGTTAAGAGTACTGAATGCCCTATTTCTCCCAAAACAAACCCAAACCCACTGCCTTTGGATCTATTTTGATCCATAGCAATCAGTTGTTCTTGGGTTGTTTCGTTGTTCTGAGAGTACAGAAAAGGTTACAGGTGTTAACAGCCTATCTTTCTCAAAAGGTTACAGGTGGTAACAGCCCATCTTTCTCCAAAGGGACAGTGGTAGATTCGAACCACTGACCTTTCAGTTAGTAGGCTCATACAGTATGCAGTACGTACTTTGCCATCAGGACTCTGCACAGCCCTCCCAGACAGTGGCCAGTCCTTGTCTAATTTGAAGTGGGCACTAGGACAGCACAGTGCACCTTTTTCTTTTCTTTTTTTATTTTATTTTATTATTTTTGTACGTGTACCGTCAAATCAGATCTGACTGGTACAGGAGGAGACTGCCCCTCCTTCCCCGGCAGAGCATCTGGTGTTTTTGAACCATGCGCCTCTGGGATTGTAGTTGCGGGTCCTTGCCACTAGGCCACCAAAGCTCCCCAGTGCACCTTTTTCGATGCCATTTTGAACACTGATACCCCTGGAGAGACTCTCACCCAGCTGTGATTAGGCCATACCAGTTCATGGTGCCAGCAACAGAGAGAATCTGTGTCAGTGTGTCCCCAGGGCTCAAACTCCTGCCAGATTCAGGCAAAAGGAAACCTGGGGCACCCAGGGACAGGTGAGAGGTGAGTGGACCACCCCTGATTACTTGGGGAGATGAGTATCACTCTTTGCCCTTCCTGTCCACTGGCACACATGCTTACCTTCTTTCTCTCTCTCCTTTTCTTCTCTCTCTCCTCCTCTCTCTCTCTCTCCACCTGTCAATTAATCTGGCCATCTCTGAGGTCCACCTACCCCATGAGCAACTCTGGTTTCCTGAGCAGGAGCCCTGGTGGCTCAGTGTTGAAAGCACTTGGCTGCCAATCAGTCTGAGTGGCAGCTCCAAAAAGAGGAAGATGAGCCAGTCTGATTTCTGTGCAGAGTTATAGCTTTGAACTCCATACTGGACACTTAACTCAGGGTTGCACATAGGAAGCTCTGATAAGATCCTGTTGGTAAGAACCTGCTCTGTGCTGCAATCCCAAAGACATGTGGCTCAAATCCACCAGCTGCTCTGAGGGCCATTTCCTCTGGTGTGATTTACTGTGTCTGAAAACCCACAGGAGGTTCAGCTAGGACTGACTCCTCAGCACACAACAACGGTGTTCCACAAGGAAGCTCTGGTGGCTTAGGGGTTAGGTTAGTCATTGCGCTGCCAGTGCAAAGGCATGCGGTTCTAATCTCCTAGCTGCTGCACAAGAGAAAGTCTATGCAGTCTCCTCCTGTGCCATTTACTGCCTCTGAAAATCCCCTGGAGGTTCAGCTAGGGGTGGGTTTCGACCTGACGGTACACACCACCATCACCACCACAGGTTTGTTCTGAATTGGAATCCACACAGGGAGTTTGGTGTCGTTTATAGACTAATAAGGAGCACTGGTGGCACAGTGGTTAAGTGGTAGGCTGCTGCTGAACAGTCTTGGGCCCCTGGGGAGGAAGATGAGGCAGTCTGCAACATACAGGTGTTGGAAACCTTAGGGGGCAGTTCTGCTATGTCCAGGAAGGTCACTGTGAGCCCGACTCACTGGAAGGCAGTAGACTTGGGATCTGTTGGTTGGGTTTTGTTGTTTTGAGCTCTGGAGGTATAAAGCCCACAGGACATAGTGCTGCTAACCCAGAGGCAGCGCCTCTCTGGCAGTTTGAACGCATCAGCGGCTCTTCATGAGAAAGATGGGAAGTTTACAGCACGGGTGGTCTATGGCAAAAAACTGCGCTGCATTTCCTAAAGCACTCGGTTCAAATCCACCAGCTGCTCCGCAGGAGAAGGATGGACAATCTCCTCCAGTGTGCTTGATTAACTGCCTCTCAAAATCCGTCGGAGAGTCAGCTAATCTACTGAAGGGTCAGCTGTCAGTCACTTCTGATTCTATGGTGGTGAGGTTTTTTGATTTACCTCGCATTGGACCCCTCCGTGGTCACCCCTCAGCCATTATTCTCCTGGCCTTTTAGCGCCTCCACAGCAGGTACCCCTTTCCTGGTGGCGGGCCCCTCAGCACCCACCCCTGTTGGGAGGCACTTGGTGCGGAGGTCACCCCGCCTCCTGCCACCCTGAGGATTGGCTCCCATCCTGCCAGACACCCTAGCCCCACCTCCATGCGAACTGTGGACCCATCTGTCCAAGTGTGCCTGGAGCCAGGTCTGCGTAAGCGAGGGCTTCAGACTGTTGCTCGGGTGGGCTGGGGTGGGTGGGCCTGTTTGGAAGCTAGAGACTTTCAGGCCTGCCTAGGGCTTAGAAGAACTGGTGGACTTAGCTGGAATGCTGAGGACAGAGGTGCTGTGACACCCGGGTCTCTCCCTGTCCCCGGCTTCTATCTCCCCCGTGGTCAGTGACACGATCTGCTTTGCCTTGTCTGCCTGCTGTCCCTGATGGCTTGCTCTTAATTCTGCCCCATTTCCCTCCTCAGTTACCCTGTTCTGTTCTTCCCTGTCCCCCAGGTGTAAGTTCCTGGGCAGGTGACAGGGGCGTCCCACCTGGGAACTTGGTGACAGCCTCAGGCCCACCAGCCTGACCAGGAATCACTGGACGGCCACACCCGCGGGTCAGCGAATCCTCAGGCTGAGCACTTTGGGCCCCCCTGCGGCTTCTGGAATGATCATCCTAAGCTGTTGTTGAGTGTAATTGGGTCTAGTGGGCTCACCTTATTTCAGGTGAGAATCATTGGTGGGAAAGTGTGTTAGAGCTGTGCAGCAGAACTGCCAATGAAAGACACACCCATATTACTATGAAATCTTTTGCTGCCTAATCAGTTCTGGCTCAGCAGGCCCAGATGAGAGAGTAGAATGTCCCCTAGGCTGTATATCTTTATAAGAGCAAATGCCTCCATCTTGGCCTGAGGAGCAGCTGCTGGGTTCACACCACTGAGCTTTTTGTTAGCAATCAAATGCTTAATCCGTTGGGCCACCACCTACCACACTGCCATTAATTTGGTTACAACTTGTGGAGACTGTTAGATTTCTGAGGCTGTTAACCTTTATGGGAAGAGATTGCCCCATCTTCCTCTTTCATGGGGTGGCTGGTGGGTTCTTTCTAGTTCCATCATAATGAGAATTGTGGTCTAGCTGAGTTTTACATGTTTTAGAGCTCAAGCCATAACCAGCAGCAATGTGGGTCATGTCCCATAGGGTCAGACAAGCCATGTGGTGGGGCTCGCCCCACCTAAGGCACGGCTCCAGATGAGTAGGTGGACCCACTGCCCACTGTGGCTGGCTCAGATGTGTGCGCACTGTATCCAGGGGTGTCTCCACCCTTGAAGACTGGGCATGGTCTTTCTCCCCTGCTCCCCAGGTGCCCGTACCTGCACCGCACAACAGGGGACACAGAGCGAAAGTACCACCTCCGCTACTACAAGACAGGGACCTGCATCCATGAGACGGATGCCCGGGGCCACTGTGCCAAGAACGGGATGCACTGCGCCTTTGCCCACGGGCCCCTGGACCTACGGCCACCAGTGTGTGATGTCCGGTGAGTGACGGCTGGGCAGGAGGGCTGATGGATGCACACTTCAAGAGTTGCTGGTGTTTTCACAGGGTGCTTAAGAGCACAGGTTTTGCAGCCAGAGAGGTCTGCTGGGATTCTTAGTGGGAGCAGACACCCTCATCTTTCTTCTTCAGGGTGGCTGGTGGATTTGAATCACTGACCTTTTGTTTAGCATCTCAACGAGTAACACACTATCAGGGTTTGTTTGCAGATTGCAGTAGATTGTTATCGTAACTTTACTGTGTGCTGGGAGACCAAAACGTGGTTGTGACTCGGCTAGTGATACCTGCTTCATTATCGGGTTCCGTGTTGTGCTACTTCCTCTCCAGATAGCCTGCTCCAGTAAAGATTTACAGCCTCTGAAACACAACGGAGGTCACTGTGGGTGGCAGTCTGCAGTGTACTTGTTTGGTTTTTGGTGAAACCAAATCCAAAGTCCCTCAGAGGTCTACCTGAGCAGTGACTAGGAGCATCAGAGCAAAGCCAGGATTGGGGAGGGGGCGCTCTTTGCTAATCAGAGCTCAGCCCCCCCCGATTGTATGGAGTGTGGGAGGCATACATACATCCAGGACAGAGAGTGCCTAATTTGATAAGAATGCCAGATCTGAGTAACCTCGTGGGTGTTGCATGGTCTGCTCCATAAAGGGAAGGACCAGGGATGCTGAACAGTTCCTGTCTGTATGTCTCTTGCTATTCTGGGGGACCACTGCCCACCCTAAACCCATAACTACATGTTTTTGGTTGCAGGGAACTTCAGGTTCAGGAAGCCCTACACAACGGCCAGTTGAGTGGCGGGGATGGTCTCCCAGATCTGCAGCCTGGGATCCTGGCGAGCCAGGCCATGATTGAGAAGATCCTGGGAGAGGACCCCCGATGGCAAGGTACCCGTACCACAACCACACGCTCAGGTGCCAGCAGGGTTGGGTGTGACAGTGGCACTCTGCAGACAGGCTCAGCGCCCTGCTGTCCACAGAGTGACACTCACATCAGACCCCTTTGTCACCATTGACAGAAAAGGAAAGTGAGGCTCAGCAACTCCTAGGTGGATGGGATGCTTTGAACCCAGACCAAGTATGGTCCCTAGTTAGGCTGTAAACTTTACCCAGAACACTTTGAGGGGGGCTGCAGCCAGAAGTCCTGTGTAGGGGGCACATACATGGCTTAGATACACACATGGGTTAGACAGTTCCTTATGGGGCATCTTTTTCTCCCTGAGGCTTCCTCCTGGGGTTTTATGTTCCCTTTTCTGAAGTATCTGTCTTCCCCATGTATGCTTCCAGGGCCCTGTGGCCCCACCTCATCTCAGCACTGAGTTTCTGCCTATGACATTTGAATCCATGGCATTAGGGTCCTAGGCAGCTGGTTAGAAACTCAGGTTCCTGGTTCGTATGCCCCTGACAGGCTCTAACCCATTTGGGCAGAAAAAGCTGTGTCTTCAAGCTCCATGGAAATGTAATAGACCAGGGATTTAAGGAACCTCCTCATGATCATGGCACAGTGGCTAAGCACTCAGCTGCTGCCCAAAAGGTGGGCTGTTCAAACCCACCAGGTGCTTGGTGGGAGAAGATGGGATGATCTGCTCCCATAAAGGTTTACAACCTTGGAAACCCGGTGGGACAGTTCCCCTCTGTCTTGCAGGGTCGCTGTAAGCCAGAGTCAACCCAGTGACAGTGGGCTGCTTGGTTTTGGGGGTTATTTCTTTGTTCAATTTCCGTTTATTTCAAGGAGGGGATTGTAAACTGTATAAATATGGAGAACATTAAAACTGTGAACATAAATACTTGCAAAAAATTAAAAAATAAGTGGTTGGATAGTGTCTAAATATGCATAATTTGAAAAAATAGCCTTCTATTAAATGAGATTAGTACAAAGAATCTCATTTCTTGGAGCTCTGGTGACTCTGGTGGTAAGGAATTGCACTGCCAGCCCAAAGGTACACAATTCAAATCCACCAGCTGCTCCATAGGAGAACGATGGGCAGTCTCCTTCTGTGTGATTTACGGCCTCTGAAAATCCACTGGAGGGTCAGCTCATGGTATACAACAACAGTACAAATAAATAGGCTAGTTTTAAGCCAAGAAAGGTTAGTTGTGTAACAACCTTTCCAAAAATTTCCCATTTTTTTCAAGCACTTTCTGATGTTTCCGCAAACAATGTGGATCTGGGTTTGCTCTGTATCTGGATGTTGAGCTCTGTATAAGACTGGAGCTCTGTATAAGACTTGAGGCCCTGAATCCTACTTTCCAAACTTCTTTTTTATCAGGAGCCATTCCAAACAACTCTCTCTGTATTTTTGTTCTTCCTCCATAAGTTGTTTTATTTTAATTGATAGATTTAATATTTTTAGAGCACTTGTAAGTTTATAGCTGGAAGCAGGAGTGGCATCCACTTCCAAAATGGCTTGCCTCCGGAAACTCTATGTACGAACAGTGCTCAGGCTGTTCGTTCATAGGGTCGCTATGAGTCGTCTACGACTCGACGGCATTAAACAACAACAAAAACAACAAGTTTATAGAAAAATTGAACAAGAAAAGCAAAGTGTCTATTCTCCCAGCCAACATGGTTTCTCTCTAGTCACTGTGTATTCTTGTGATCAATTTCTTGCCATTGATTCTGGTACATTTTTTTTTTTACTTTTTTT